AAAATGCAAATCATACACTTTCCATACAATTCCATAAGTACATAAAATTACATGAAAAGTCTATGACTACTATTTTTCATATATGGACCCTTTATGACCAGCATTTTTTCATATATGGCAATTGTGAAATTACAACTTTTTCATATTTGAAAACTGTATGATTAGCACTTTCAGTCTATGGAGGTCAACCCGGATTTGTGATCACATTTCACATATTGAATTCTTTTAAACCGTAAGTTTTTATGCAACCTGTTTTCCTTATACATCCATTAGCTCCAATCTTTTTTCTCCGTCTCTAAAACAATAACAGTTACAGATTATAAATTCTAAACTTTAACCGTCATTTCTGTCATTTCTCCATTTCTCCATTTCTCATCACTAAGAATTAAAGACAAAATATTTCTGTTACCTGATTTTGGTTTCAAGGGTCTTTATTTGGTTCGGATGAAACATGAAATGTCTAGAGCAGGGGCGAATTTAGGGTGGGGGGGGGCGGTTTTGTCGGAAATGCCCCCCCCCCCCCTCAGGGATTCGACCCCCTGCCGACCCAAAGGGTCCCCCCTTTGATACTTTTTCAGAAATCCATTTTTGGCCGACCGACCCTAAAATTTTTCTAAAGGCGCCTTCTGCGCCAATATATACTAACTTTGAGGGGGAGCGCGCGCCAAAAAAAAACGCGATTTTTTGTGAAAACTTTTCAAAAAGTGCCCAAAAACGGCTTTTTTGACTGTTTTTTCAAAAATTTAGCCAAAATAGGTGCAAAACAGTGCTTTGGGAGAGCTCTCGAAAAATCAATTTGGTCGACCTAAAAAAAAGGTCGTCAAAATGTTCGAATTTTTTTTGAAAATACACCCCCCCCCCGTCCCTCGAGAAAATCCTAGATCCGCCCCTGGTCTAGAAATGAGCTTGATTGAAATGTGTAAATTTTTTTTTGATAATATTGACTTCGTTACCTTATGCGCTTTCCCGGTGTATTGTTTGTTGTGCAGCGCAAATTTCAAACCCCCTCCCCCCCTCTCTTTCCTCATTGCAATTTTTTCATTGTACTTGTAACGTTGCATGCTAAATGCAAATTATTACGACGTAAGAACTTTATTCATATATGATTAGAACGCGCTCCAAAAAAAACCTGGTCCAAATCTTCAAAAAAGTTCTGAAAATTCCAGGAATGGCCCTTCCATGGTTTTTAAAAACGTACTACGCTGTATGGTTGAAAGACCTAATTTGTTCACCATGGAGAGTTCCCTTTTATTATAACAACTTTGGAAACTCACAACATGGAGAGGGAAAATAATCAGGCATTTTGTGATTCAGAATAAGTTTTAACCTTCATCAACTAAGCTTAATATTCAAATGCTGGCGGCACGCATTTTCTGTTCACTTCTTTTGGCCTCGCAAAATGTTCGCAGGCCGGAAATTTTTTATCTGACCGGTTCCCTCTGCATTGTCCTTTCGCTTCCCGGCACAGACTCTGGCAGGGCGGAAATATCTGGACCATGGGTTCATTCTCGTCTTCAGTTGCATCAACACACGGTGGGAAGTTTATGGCACAGAAGAAACGTCTGATATGCTCGGAGGGGCTCACCTCAACCAAACCCATTCTTCCATAGTCAAATTGATAGCTAGGGGGACATTGCAACAATCTCAGGTTTCGCTGAGTTTCGTCGTGAATTTTTTCCGAAATGTTTCCATCGAAGCTCTCATAATTGCACCAAACTGAAGGTAAAGCAGAGCTTGTTTCGTAGCTATTAACAGTACTTGACCAAAAAGAGTTACACGGAAAGTCTGGGTCAAAATCGGAAAAGTTCACGCAAACACCTGGCAATTTAATAACTTTGTTGCATAACGAGTTTTTCGCAACTTTGTCTGCAAAAATGAACTCGCCGAAAGCCACTAAGGTAAGAGTAATCAGAAAAACCCGAATTGGTTTTTGGCCAGCGAATTTTGAATCATAAGTCATAATGATTGAGTAGACGTAAAAGTTTTCCTCGATTGGTGAATTGCCTCAATTGATTTAAAGCTCGCAAACTTTTTAAAAAATCTAAAGTTGCAACAAAATCAAGATTACAATCGTCAAAAAATACACCCACGGGGATTCAGTGGAAATAAATACGCCAACTTAAGTTTGAATTTAAGTTTTGCTTTTTTTCTTCTAAAAAATGTTATAAGTTAATTTGGCGACTTACTATAATAGTATTTAAATCCAAACTTATTTATATCCATCGTCCTCGAACCACCCGCACTAGAATTTAATGGGAAATAAATGATTTTATTACGTTGTATCGGCAAAAACTTAAACATACAATCAATTTTCATGACCCAAATAATCAATTTTGGGAGATTTTAATTGATTTTCGGGTTTTCAAAAAAAAATATTCGAAAATTTTGTCGACCTTTTTTTTTAGGTCGACCAAACGACCAAACAGGCCAAAAAAGGCATTTTAGGCACTTTTTGGAAAATTTTGGCCAAACAAATTGCCCTTTTTCAACGCGCCCTACCCACTCCCCCCCCCCTAAAAAAAATTATTATACATATTGGCGCCCAAGGCGCCTTAGGGTCCGTCACCAAATATGGATATCTTAAAGTAGTACAAAGGGGGACCCTTTGGGTTGGCAGGAGGTCAAATTTCTGAGAGAAGGGGCGTCCAAACAAACGCCCTCTCCACCCCCTTAATCCCACCCGCCCCTAAATCCGCCCCTGTATTTACGTTTTCATTATCATTGATTTTTTTCTTCATAAATTCCATGAAAATTGACTATTTGCAAATTTGTAATGCTTATTTTGCAGCTTTCTCCAAAAGTAGGAAAAATGGAGATGTTCATCCCCGCGTACACCCCCTTCCTCCCCGACGAATGGACTCCGCCACAAAGCAGGGGCAAATGCCAAACGTTGGAGAAGGAGGGGACAGGGGGTGTAAGCGGGATGAAAATTTCTGAAAATGTGTGAACTATGATCGATTATAATCAATTGAAATGAGTTATATATTGATTTGACAACAAAGAAGATTGTAATCCATTTTTAATCCCTTAGTATCGATTACTTTTAGTTTTTGTGGACACTGACACGAATACCTAATGTAATTGGTTATTATTCATAAAAATCCAGCGCGGGAGTTTATTCCAGTTCCTTGCATCCAGAAAAAAATAGAGCTGATACACAATTATTACTGTCACAGCTAATTATATTTTAAACTTTCTAAGTCAAACAAAATTACAGAATAAGGCCGACGACAAATTAATAAATTAATGACAACTTGAAACTCGTAAACAGAGAAAGTTTAGAAAACTGAATAAGCTACTGATCTCCGATAATGCCGCTCGAGCTTGCTAGATGTTTTCTAGGTTGAACTTACAAGCAAACAAGTTTTAATAATCGATATAAGAAGTCTAGACTTGATCAGATAGGGTGGTTATAAATCTCTGATCAGAAAAGCGAAACCGGATGTCAACCTGTTTGTAGATAACTGACCGAACCAAGACGACCTCATTAACCACCCCCCTCCCCCCTCTCCCCCACCCTCTTTCGCATTCCTCTTCCCGCCATCATCATTGAACGAAAACGTTTACAACACTTATTATTTGATCGAAATTCGTCTGTTTATGTATACTTTCTTTTCCTTTGCTTAAGGTTAACTATACAAAAAATTATCAGAGACCAACAAAATGGCAGTCGGAACATTCAGGAGTTTGCTTTGATAAGAGTAGTCTTGTTGTTCCGACTTTCGATACGAAAGTAACGGAATATTTGTGCTCGGGGTGGGCTTTTTTTTCTTCAGACAAATTTCGACTTTTTAACTAGCAATTTTTGACGGAATTTTTTTATATCATTCAAAAGGTATTGTTGCCCTGAGCTTAAATTTGAAAAGATATTTTACCTATGATCATTTTATGAGGGTTTAAAGATTGCCATTTCGGCCATTTTGACCAATTTGGGACAATTAACGCGCGATTAAATTCGCGCTATTAACGCGTAAGCGGAGGTTTAATCCTACTTATAAATCGTTCTAAATTGGTTGAACGAAGCTTATTTGCCATAACTGAATTGTGAAAGGAACCAAGTCTATCTTTTTGTACTTTAAATGGCGTGTGGGTGGATGATTTTCATAAAAAACTACAAAATTTAGAAAAAAAAATCATTTTATTTAAATTCATTTAATTTTTTATGTTTTTACTGCTGCTCCATAAACCTTAAAAGGCAGTCGGAACATTCAGGGCTTTGCCCTGATACGAGCAGTCTTGTTTTATATATGACCAATTTGACAAATTTGGGACAATTAACGCGCGATTAAATTCGCGCTAATAACGCATAAGCGGAGATTTAATCCTTCTTATAAATCGTTCCAAATTGGTTGAACGAAGCTTATTTGCCATAACTGATTTGTGAAAGAAACCAAGTCTATCTTTTTGTACTTCAAATGGCGTGTGGGGGGATGATTTTTATAAAAAACTATAAAATTTAGAAAAAAAAAATCATTTTATTTAATTTCATTTAATTTTTTATGTTTTTACTGCTGCTCCATAAACCTTAAAAGGCAGTCGGAACATTCAGGGCTTTGCCCTGATACGAGCAGTCTTGTTTTATATATGATTATTTTAACTCAACTTTTCCTCAGTTTAGAGTACAATGATACCATCTAACACCCCACGCTTCCCATTTCCCACTCGAATTAGCTCTCGGTCTGATAGAACATGAAAAATTATATGACATGAATTTTGTGTTAAATGCACCTTTATTTAGTTTTTTTTTAAATTTCTAATATATGGCTTTAAAAATAATGGAAAAAAATTGTATAGCTTATTGCATGGCATGATCCTTGGTGATTTTGCCTGTACAAGCTGTTTATTTAACTAATTATTACAATTAGTTGATGGAACAGCTTGTACAGGCAAAATCTTGCCATGCAATAAGCTTTACAGCTTATTTTTTATATATAATTAAATTGTACATCAAAAAATACTTTCCAAAAATAGTACTATCTACACTCTCATTCGTTGTGTAGCGTGTCTGCGTACCCTGCTGGTTGGCAACCCCCTGGCAGCTGGCATGCCAGACGGTGTCATTTGTGGCATGATGGACAATGACGGCGGATGTAGCGACATCAACAGCCAGTGGAGTGCACAGGGCTTGACTGCATCCGGCTGCACTCTGGACTGTTGCGAGGCATCCGGAAGCGACGATTCCTGCAGGGCGCTCAGTATGATTGCATATACATTTTATCAACAGAAAGAAAACTGATATTTTTCCAAATTACAAATCCAAACATATAAAAAGGAATATATTTTCCCAGCAGTAGTGCTATCCATTGCTGGAATGACAGCAGCCTGTTGGCCTGTTGATGTTTTCCGTTGATGAAACTTGCTCCAATTTTTTCCATCTCTAAAACCGTGTTTTATGCAACTCAATACATTTCTAGCTGCATTACGCAATCTTTTAATTTGCGGATTTTCTAATTTTTCTCTTTTCATTCGGACAAAACAATTTTTCAACAGACAGGATAATAACTTATACTAACACAAGGAAGTCGAAAAATGAAAATGAGTTAAGAAAGTGACGTCATTGTCTGTCTTTCTTTTGTTTCCTCTAATCAGCCATGGTTGACCACGTGGGTCAGATCTGTGTAAATGTGACCTACAGCAGTGACCTTGGGGACACTTCTTCAGCTGCCTACAGTGACCTGAAGAATGAAGTGATGGGGGATGCATACCCCTATGCCTCATGCACTATCCACTCTTTTGTCACTCTCGCCATCGACTCGGCAGCCGAGGTCAGCAGAGTTACTCACTTTGTGTCTTTTTTCAGTTTCCTTCTGAAAAACTAAAGAGATTGACAATGAAGTCAATCAAAGTCCCCCCTTTGTACTACTTTAAGATCTCCATTTTTGGCTCTCGGACTCTAAATTTTTTCTAAAGGCGTCTTTGGCGCCAATATATGCTAAATTTGAGGGTTACGCGCGCTCTCAAAAGACGCGATTTTTTAGTCAAAATTTTCCAAAAAGAACCTAAAACGCCTTTTTTAGACTGTTTTGTTTTCAAAAATTTGCCTCTGGCGCAGCAAGTTTGGTCAAACTACGATCTTTATGATAATTTGTGAGAGTTCGAAAAATCAGTTTGGTCAGCCTAAAAAAAGATCGATAAAATTTCGAAAAATTTATGAAATTCTGTCCCCTCGCGAAAATTCTAGATCCGCCTCTGATTCTCAATCAAACATGATTTCTAAGCTCAAGTATTAATTTCAGTATGAATTTTTCAACTTTTCAAGATTTGTTTTTCGCTTAGTCGAGAAATGAAAACCAATTTGCACTATAACAAAAAATACATCCTATTTCCATGCTCAGTTACTTCGTCTTTTCGTTTTTCACTTTCTCTCGTTAAATTCGGGACCAAAATTAGGTGTTTTAGAATTTTCCCATCCTTTGTTTAAGGATGCGATGTGTGTTGACGGAACTGTGTTGGCCTTCACGATCAAGACTTACCCGGAAACTACAATGGACGCATGTGCGATGCAGTCATCTCTGGATACCTACAGAGCCGAAATCGGAACCACACACCCCGTGCAGTATATCAAAATGACGGAATGTCTCGGAGACGACGATGATGACGATGACAAAGGAAGTCTGGCAACAGACACGCCCGCACCGACTGTACTCCTTGCGCTGGTCCTGTTGGTTTCTTCTGTCGTCTCTCCCAAGATGATGACAAATCTTCTGGCCTAAAATCAACAAAAAGCAAACACTCTAAATCAAAATATTTGAACCCAACTTTATTAGAGTCAATTATCTTCAACCACGAATTTGGTCACAAATTTCATACCAATCGACAGAGTGACCGCTGTTTTACAAGCGCGATGATAACTGATTGGTGCAAAATTGTTCAATTCGGGAAGATTTTGTGTAAATGAAGCGTTGAATGAGAATAACTTTCGTTTTAAGTTTGAAACGATCCAATGACTTTAATGCTGATGCACTTCGACTATTCTAATTAAAAATTTTTCCTTGATCTTTTAATCTGAGAGTGTTTGAGAAAACTGGCGGGCTTATAGTGGCGATGCTTCCCTATAAATTACTACCTTTCCCGTCTTGCTCTTCAAGCTGGCTTTGTCTTGCCAGCTAATGCCAAATGAATTTGGAAAACGTTCCTCTTGTATTATATTATCACACAACGTTTCGATTTAGCTCTGAAATTGTATAATCAATTTGAATTAACTTCTAAACACAAACTCCAATTTGCAAAAAAATGGGAAAAGTTCAAAACAAAGTTGGCGAAAAGACGAAAATTGTTTCATAAATCTTTTTAAACAATCAGATGACCATTCATTTGAATTACGATCTATTTTTGGTAAATGTGCAACTAATCAACTCAAAAAATTGATGCGGAAAAATCCGACGTATTCTGACGTCATACTCAAATTTATTCAAGTTGGTGCAGTTTTTTTGTAGTGTGATCTGTGATCAAAATTTTTGATTCTGACTCAAATTACTGATTCGTTTAACTTTTTATTGATATTGTTCACGTTTTTGCTTCTAACAAGTTTTTTCTGGTCGTGATGATCTCTAATTTTGCCGGTTTTCTCTTTCAAATAGATTTGTTAAATTGCGTTCATTTTGCGGCAAAACTTTAACTTGTTTATCAAACTGTTTTATTTTATTAGAGACAAACTATTCGTATCAACGCACGCATTGACTTTTCCGACTGCCGTAGTATCAAGTCGTTAAGCAAATTTTTCGTTAAAAATTGATGAGTTAATCGAAAAAAAAAAACTATTTTTTGCATTTTTTTTTTATTCCCCCACCAGCCATCTTAAGTAGATGGTGGAACATTTTAAATCGGTAGAGGGTGAAAAGTTTTTAAATTTTTAATTTTTGCTTCCAGCGGCGATTTAATCCCGGACTTATTATTACGTTAGTTGACACTAAACACGTTACTTCATTTGTTTTCAAGGCCTGCAGGATGACAAAAATGAAAAAAGTTCAAATTTTTTTCTTTGTTTTTGAAAAAATTATCAATTTTTTTAATAAAAAAACGTTTTTAGCAGCACCTAAAGGGCAGTCGGTACATTGAATACTTCTCCCTGATACGAACAGTCTTGTAACGGTTTTGTTTTGGTTAATGACACAAAACAAGCGGTTGCTGTTTTTTGATGTTAACATTCAATAACTCAAAACTCGAAATCAATAATCAAATCAAATTGAGGCTGCCCGCGAGAAACGACAAGATGAAAAAAGCTTCGCCGACTGGTTCGCAAATTGCACTGGCAATCTCGATAATGCTGCTGCAGACCAGGTTATACTCATCATACTCATTTTTCCAATCTTTTTATGTATTTGCCAAAGGTTTTCTCTTTAAGTCACGCGAGTTTCATTAGGCAGCCATGCAAAGTAGCGAAGTTTCTGATGATAGCAAATTTCAATGAACGGTAGGCAACCCCACCAATCAATGGAAACCATTGATGGGATGTTTTCCTTTTTTTGATGAGTTTTAGTCGCAGATTTGATCGTTGCGCGTTCCATTGGATAAAACGTACTTTTTCGTTAACAAAGCAGCATACCACATGGATTGATGTACTTGAACCGGAAAATGTTCATTTATCTGGAATTCCTAATAGGACCAGTCTCAATCCAGAAAAGCTTTTTCTGTATCCTCCTTTTCAGATCGAACTCAAGTTTTCCGACTCAATATTTGATAAGAAAAAAAAGTTTTAAATTTAGTAGTTTTTCTCAAATGGTGAAAATTTATACATTATCAAACACCTGCTTATTTAACATTGGACCGGTTTTCATATGATTCTTCAATCAATCATCGCTTTTTACAATGAAAAAAGTCGAAAAAAATAGTACTATCAATAAAGGAAAAAAATGGGTTTCAACTAAGATTAGACGGAAAATCTTGATTATTTTATCCGCGTTTACTCAGTTTCAAAGTGTCTCCCTTTGTTTAGCTATGTGCTGGGTCAGGGGGTGAGTTGTCCGGCATGTATTCAGGCGGACATCAGTGGTCTGAGGGGGAGTGAGGACTGTGGGGTGAAGATGCAGGCGGCTGTTGCTTTGGGGGCAACCTATGGCCTCCAGATCGATGGCAGTCAGTGCAACTTGCTCGCCCCTCCTGTGAGTAGTACGTGAGCAATATTCATTGGCGGCGGACAAAAGTTATTTTTAGCCGCCTGTGAGTCGACGCTTGAGCAAACAAAAAATCTCTAGACCATAATAAAACAAAAACGTTCTCAAACAAGTTTTTTAGTGCCAAGTCTTGATGTCGAATACGAAAATCTTACAAATCACAAACAATTAGAAAAAACCGATCTTCATTTCACTTGCGATAACAAATAATTCCTGTAAACTATTGGCCAATCTTTTTTGTTCTTAATAGCAAAAAAAATCAATAATCAATCAAAAAGTTTTCAAAAAACGAAAAAAAAAATCCTGCGATAAAACTTTCAAACTTCTGTGAAAGCGCTATTGGAAATTGCTATGCTATAAGCACAGCAATCGGCTATACCTGCTCAAATTAAAAACTTTGGAAACTTAAGTATGATTCATCATTACAAAGCAAATTGCTTGCAGAAATAAATTGAACGTTTTCGCAAAAACTCATATTCATCATATTTCACTCCAAAAAACTTTTTCTTGAACTCTGTACTTTACGGATGAAAACTTTCACGAAACGTTGTCGTCAATGAGACCAAATTTGGCAAACAATTTTCAACTTATTCTATACAATCTCGTTTTCAAAAAAAAAATAGAAAAATCATAATGTGTGCTTTTACAATATTGTTTTGCATTTACTGCAACTAGTCTGCGTCTTGTCCGGAGGAGAGTAACACCCACTGTATCTACCTGAAGACCTGTGCCATCATCAATGAAAGTGACACTTCATTTGGGGGCATCTACGGCTCCTTCTGCGTACACGTACAAAGTGAGCTTAATTCTTTAACAAACTAACCAAGCTATAAAAAGTGATAACTTATTAGTAAAAACACAAATAATCTCTGTTAGATCAATATTATCAAGATAAGACCCTCAAAAGCCGTTATCAGAGCTTGATATCTAAGATAAGTGCTTTTTATTTCATAGTCACAGAAGCTCTTATACTCAACTTTGTTTTTTTTTAAATTTGATTTGAATTGTTTTTATTCTAAAAATGCGGAAACAACAAGAAATGTTTATTCAAAATAATGTAAAGCGAAAAAAACTTTTAAAAAATAAAATTAGTAGCTCGTTTTCTTATTGTCCGACCTCCTCTGAAAGATTTCAAATTTTTAATGAAGTATGTACGATGCGGGACCGACCTAATAGCATATGCGTCAATTAGCATGCCCTTGTACAAGAATGTCGTTTGAAAATTCAAATTCTGCTTATTCAATTTTTGCAATTTTAAGGAAGGAAGACACTATTCCAAACTATTAATTGTGGAAATATGAATCTTAAACATACAAAATCGAGTAATAATTGAAGATTTCAGACTTTTTAGGTTAACTTGTTTTTCGCCTGAGTAAAGCAATTATCGCATGACTATAAGCCCGCATGCTAATTGTTGAGCCCCCGTGCGCAGCAGTTAGTGTTTAGAGCTTGTTTTCATTTTTCATCTGTTTGACAATACGCCGTCTCAATTTATAGCACAACTGTTCCATGCCGCAACCCTTATCCCGTCATCAGAAACGTCTGAAAATAGGCATAAATTTTCTAATGGCGATCTTCGAGACTGAGCTTTTTTGATACGATTATAAAAAAATTATTTCAATGACTATGAAACTATTATGGAAACAATTTTAGCCTAATTGTTGTGATAAACTTATTAAATAGTTTCAGAGCAAAGAAAATGATCGCTTGAATTTTCGAGCAAACGGAAGCAAATTCTTTGCGTTTGAATTTCATTTTGGATTCAGCGAGTTTAGACCCAATTGTTAAAGAATTATTGCAACTATTGATTGACAAAAACAAGGAACGTACAAAATCTGTTATTCAGCTATAATCCAGTGTGCAACAGCTTAGTATTAAAACGAATGAAGTAGAGAGATATAACTCCAAGGACTCAGGGATTTTTTCGGGACTTTAAGCGGAGACGTATCATATTTTTGTTCGAAAGTGCTGAATATATCAGTTACAGAAAACAATCTCAAGGCTTGCCACTCTTTGTATCCTGTTGAGGACTTCAACAGACCGCCTCCAATTTTTGCGAAATTTATACGATTTGACAAAAAGAACAGTCTGTGGAATCGAAAACCTCCGCTGCGAAATTTCGTCAATCCGTGCAACAATAAACCGGTTTATATTAACGAAAGATTATCAAAATATGATTCGGGATTGGAAATTGAAGCTGAATCGAGAGGCATGATTGTTTCTCCATGGAATTCTACACCTTTTGTGGAAGTTAAAGATACCGGAGAAAATTTCAAAAGTGTCAAGGTGGATACTATGGAGGAGTTGGAGGGTCTAAACAACACTGCGGTTAGCAAAACCAACGCCATCGGGTCAGCTAAAACCAATTCGGAAGTTTTGTGTAGTAAGGTTTTGAAGGACAATATAACACCGGCTAAAAAGCGTTTTCGCTTACAAGTTTCACCATTCCCAACATCTACAACTAACGAAGAAATGCAAACTCTGAAACGTGAACTGGTCAAGCACATGGATGATGATAGTACCTTATTGGATTTCATCAAAAGATTCGTGGACGGTATTAAGCAGTCATATGAAACAGTAAACGATGACTAAAAAAACTTTCAACATACAACTTAACTTAACCTTATCTACCTTAATTTATTGCCCTAATTTTTGTTGGACTTGGGAAATTTACTTGAGGCAAATACTGGAGGAACTGAGAGCTTTTTTTCCCTTACCATAAGATCACTTAGATAACATCATGACAAGCTTTGTGTTTGATTGTTTCACTCAAGAAAAAACCTTAAGAATAGCTTTACGCGGAACATGGTTGACCATAAAAGATTGCTTGGAAATGTTTCAGTTGGATGGTTATCAGAAAGGGGTTTTTAAAAATAGGGAAAAAGGGGTGGTGGTGTATCTTTTTTTCGTAAAAACTGGAGTTGAATCTATTCTTCAAGATTTGAAATAGGATTTGGAATATCCAGCTATAACTGTTTGCAGCAACTTAACTAAATTTAAAATTTGCGTTGTCTACACGTGTCTTAAATTATTGGAAAGTCTGGATACTCTGTTGAATGAACTTCGATTATTAAAAGGAACACCTATAATTGTGGGAGATTTCAATATTGGCATATTTTCGTATGATAAGAAATCAGAAAATTTAAGTTATAAGTTGATACTGAAATTTTTTAATTTTGGATATTTTCTTGAGTGAACCAACCAGAGTCACTAACAATAGTGCCACCTGCATTGATCATTGGATATCAGAAGAGTTTTTTCCAGTGACAGTTATTAACTCAACAATTAGTGAACACTATGCATTGTTTGCTGAATTGCCATTTACAATCGCTAAGGCTGATAAAACGGTTTGTTATGCCAGAAACGTTACAATACTGAGTCGTGACGACAACCTTTTTAAGCTACTATTTTTCCTGCATATCGAATTGGAAAAACTGAGCGTGGACAATTCCGTGAATTTTGAAATCCAGTTTTCAATTCAGTCAATGCTTGATGTTTTCGATAGGGATTGCCCTTCTAAACTGGTTGATATCAAAAAATTTTCAAAAAAACGTGGATAACTAAAAATTTTAATAAACTTTGCAAAAACAGAGATACTGCGCATTACCCAATGATGAATCAAAAAGAAAGTTCAAACAACTGAGGAATGAAACCGAAAAACATACTGCGATAGAAAAGCGAAATTTTTATTACAAAAAATTGGGTAACTCTAAAGATTCAAAAAGAATGTTTCAAGTTTTCAATAAGTTTTGTGGATAAAAAAAAAACTATTTCAAATAAGTTAGAGGCGAATGATTTGAATATCTTTTTTGTGACCATTGGTCCTCAACTGTCAAAAAAATGGAGGACTTCATATAGGTTGATATAATCTCTCGCAATTGCGAGACTTTTGTTTTCTTTCCCACTGACATTGACGAAATGGCAAACGTTATTAAGAATTTAAAAAACAAACTTTCGACTGGTCATGATGGGTTGAGTAATAAGATGGTTAGGCTTTTTGCACCAGTCATTTTGAAGCTCAAGGTTGTTTACTTTAATGAAATGTTCATGAAAGAGACTTTTCCTGATATTTGCAAAATTGCCAAGGTAATTGCTTTATTCAAAAGTGAAAGTGAAATTAATTTTAATAATTACCGGCCAATTAGCCATCTTCCAACAATTAGCGAAGTTTTTGAAAAACTTAGTTACGGACGAATAATAAAGTTTTAACAGAAATTGAAAATACTTTGTTCTGATCACTGTGTCCTAAACAGACCAAAGCACTCATGTGTACATGCAATTACACGGATAACTGAATATATGCGCTCAGTTTTGGAGAAAAAAGATTATAGATTGGCCCTCTTTTTGTATTTTAAAAAAGCCTTTGACACCAGTTGATCATGATATTTTAATCATTAAATTAGAAAAATATGGCTTTGGTGGGAACTTTTTCAATTTGCTATAGAACTATTTAACGAACAGGGTACAATATGTGATTGATGGAACCATAAATTCGGATTTTAGAAAAAATAACTTGTGGTGTGCCCAGGGCTCAGTTTGGGTTCCTTTATGTTTTTGATAAATATCAATGATATTTCAATTATTATTTAAGTAACTGAAATAAGTTTTTTTGCTGATGACACTTCAATTGTAGGTTCTGGAAAAACACCAATATTTGTAAAAGAATTCAGCAAATATGTCCAGAGCATAAATGACTTGTGCAATGTCAACAAGCTATCGATTTATACAGACAAGAGTAAACTAATGGCTCTTGAAAAAGACCTGTCGGATTCCAAAATTTCAATTGCTGGCCAAACTATAGAACATATGGATTTTTAAAACATGTTGGTATCGAAGTTGCAAAAAACTGAATTTTAGTAATCAAACTGAAAAAGTTTGCAAAAAGGTGTCGAAAATCAATGGTGTTTTGTACCGAGCAAGATCATTTTTCTATAAACAGTCATTAGTTTTGTTTTACATGGCATACGTGGTTGCGATAATTTCCTATGGCTTCATAGCGTACGGTTATACTTCAAAAACAAATCTTGATAACATTTTCTAGATACAGAAAAAAAATTTAGAACAATTTTTTTCCTTCGTACGTATGATCTCGATCAGCTCTCTGTATGTTTCGTTATTCTCGATCAAAACTTGACATATTTCATTTTTCTCGACTTTCCCAACCTAAAATTTTAGAACGCATTTCTTCTAACCTGAAAATAAAAATTTTGACTTTCTCGACCAAAAAAAAGGTATGCTTCGAGCGTCTCGTTTTTCTCGGCCGACAGAAAAGCTTCAAATCCTAATTGACTTATCTCAGATTTGTTTCAACACGCATAACTAATAAAGGGTTGTGTAATGATTACCTGGACTCTCTAGGTGACAAAAAAGTACCTAGAGGCATATTTATTGTGCGCGATTAACCCATTTAAGCTCTTAAGCAACTCTTACAGAAATAAACAGGAATTTGATTGTATGTATGCATGCATGTATGTATGTATTTGATTAAATATGTATGCTCACTTTCAACCTTTGGCAGTTTGGAACAAACAAATAATAAAGGTTCAAGTGTAGGCACTGCTCGACCTATGTTTTCTTACTGTGCTCGACCAATGTTTTGTGTTTTCTGATCAAAAAAGAGTATTTTTGACAGTACTTGAATTTATTTCGACTTTATTGTTTTTGATATATATCAATGATATTTCTATTATTCATTAAGTAACTAAAACAAGTTTTTTTGCTGATGACACTATAATTGTAGGTTCTGGAAAAATACCAATGTTTGTAAAAGAATTCAGCAAATATGTCAAGAGCATAAATGACTGGTGCAATGTCAACAAGCTATCGATTTATGCAGACAAGAGTAAACTAATGGCTTTTGGAAAAGACCTGTCGGATTCCAAAAATTCAATTGCTGGCCAAACTATAGAACATATGGATTTTTAAAACATTTTGGTATCGAAGTTGACAAAAAACGTAATTTTAATAATCAAACTGAAAAAGTTTGCAAAAAGGTGTCGAAATTAAATGGTTTTTTGTATCGAGCAAGATCATGTGTCTCTAAACAAAAATTAAATAAGTTTTACATGGCATACGTGATTGCGATAATTTCCTATGACTTGATAGCGTACGGTTGTGTTTCGAAAACAAATCTTGATAAAATTTTCTTGATACAGAAAAAAATTATAAGAACAATTTTTTTCCTGCGTACGTATGATCACGCTCAGGGGTAATTTAGGATGTTTGTCACTACCTTTAAGAAAAACAAAATTAGCTCAAATTTCGGTATCATGAAAAACTCTGAAATGTTTCAACTATTTGTTGTCAAACAAATTGTTACCCTTCAATCTTAACGAATATTCTGACAAACAAAAGAAAACTTTTTCGTCAAAATTAAAAAAAATAAACCTGAATGAAAATCGATTGCTTGTTGACATTACAACAGGTTGAGTTTATGTGGTATCCAAGGGTGCAAATCTAAAAACTCTGTTTTTGCCTTCACTTATTTGCCCTTAGTTATTCACTTATTTAGCTCTCAATCTTGTGAGAAAGGAAAACTTATTCTGCTTTTCGCGGAATTTAAACTCATTTTCAAGTCTTTGGTTAGATTTTGAGTTTTTTTTTGACACCGTTGACCAAAATTTGTTTGTTTCGCTCTTCTCGACCAAATTTTGCAACTTTTCTACTTTCTCGATCAGCTCTCGGTATGTTTCGTTTTTCTCGAACAAAACTTGACATATTTCATTTTTCTCGACTGTCCCAACCCAAATTTTAAGAATTCATTTCTTCTATCCTGAATATAAAAATTTCGACTTTCTTGACCGAAAAGGGGTATGCTTCGATCGTATCGTTTTTCTCGGCCGACAGAAAAGTTTCAAATTTTAATTGACTTTTCTCAGATTTGTTTCAACCGGCATAACTAACAATGGGTTGTATAATGATTACCTCGACTCTCTAGGTCACAAAGAAGTACCTAGGGGCATATTGATTGTGCACGATTAACACATTTGAGCTCTTAAACAACTCTTACAGAAATAAACAGGAACTTGAATGTATGTATGCATGCATGTATGTATGTATTTAATTAAGTATGTATGCTCACTTTCCACCTGGAGTAGTTTGAAACATACAAATAATAAAACTTCAAGTGTAGGCACTGCTCGACCTATGTTTTCTTACTGTGCTCGACCAATGTTTTGTGTTTTCTGATCAAAAAAGAGTATTTTTGACAGTACTTGAATTTACTTCGACTTTATTGTTTTTGATATATATCAATGATATTTCAATTATTCATTAAGTAACTAAAACAAGTTTTTTTGCTGATGACACTAAAATTGTAGGTTCTGGAAAAATACCAATGTTTGTAAAAGAATTCAGCAAATATGTCAAGAGCATAAATGACTGGTGCAATGTCAACAAGCTATCGATTTATGCAGACAAGAGTAAACTAATGGCTTTTGGAAAAGACCTGTCGGATTCCAAAAATTCAATTGCTGGCCAAACTATGGAAAATATGGATTGTTTTAAATATTTGGTTATCAAAGTTAACAAAAAACTGAATTTTAATAATCAAACTGAAAAATTTTGCAAAAAGGTGTCGAAATTAAATGGTGTTTTGTATCGAGCAAGATCATGTGTCTCTAAACAAACATTAATTAGGATTTACATGGCATACGTGATTGCGATAATTTCCTATGACTTGATAGCGTACGGTTGTACTTCGAAAACAAATCTTGATAAAATTTTCTTGATTCAGAAAAAAATTATAAGAACAATTTTTTTCTTTCGTACGTATGATCACGCGCAGGGGTAATTTAGGATGTTTGTCACTACCTTTAAGAAAAACAAAATTAGCTCAAATTTCGGTATCATGAAAAACTCTGAAATGGTTCAACTATTTGTTGTCAATTGATTTGTTACCCTTCAATCTTAACGAATATTCTGACAAACAAAAGAAAAAGTTTTTCGTCAAAATTAAAAAAATAAACCTGAATGACAATCGATTGCTTGTTGACATTGCAATAGGATGATTTTATGTGGTATCCAAGGGTGCAAATCTAATAACTCTGTTTTTGCCTTCACTTATTTGCCCTTAGTTATTCACTTATTTAGCTCTCAATCTTGTGAGAAAGGAAAACTTATTCTGCTTTTCCCGGAATTTAAACTCATTTTCAAGTCTTCGGTTAGATTTTGAGTTTTTTTTACACCGTTGACCAAAATTTGTTTGTTTCGCTCTTCTCGACCAAAATTTGCAACTTTTCTACTTTCTCGATTAGCTCTCGGTATGTTTCGTTTTTCTCGAACAAAACTTGACATATTTCATTTTTCTCGACTGTCCCAACCTAAATTTTTAGAATTCATTTCTTCTATCCTGAATATAAAAATTTCGACTTTCTTGACCAAAAAAAGGGTATGCTTCGAGCGTATCGTTTTTCTCGGCCGACAGAAAAGTTTCAAATCTTAATTGACTTATCTCAGATTTGTTTCAACCGGCATAACTAACAATGGGTTGTATAATGATTACCTCGACTCTCTAGGTCACAAAAAAGTACCTAGGGGCATATTGATTGTGCACGATTAACCCATTTGAGCTCTTAAACAACTCTTACAGAAATAAACAGGAACTTGAATGTATGTATGCATGCATGTATGTATGTATTTAATTAAGTATGTATGCTCACTTTCCACCTTGAGCAGTTTGAAACATACAAATAATAAAACTTCAAGTGTAGGCAGTGCTCGACCTATGTTTTTTTTACTGTGCTCGACCTATGTTTTGTATTTTTTGATCAAAAATGAGTGGTTTTGACAGTACTTGAATTTATTTCAACTTTTTAGACCTTTTTGACTAGCAAAAATAATATGAGCAAACTGACAAGAAAAAGATAATGTATGCTTTTCAGTTTTTTTATGATGCTTGAACTGAAAATATACTACAAGATTCATTAGAATGTGCAATCCCTGCATCCAAGAGTAATTTTTTGGGTGATTTGATTCTTACATTTCTCTAACATTTTCTTAAAGACTAAAACTGTTTAATGAAAACCGGTAGAAATATATTTTTCTCGTTAGATTTTAAAAAAAGAAAAGGGTTCGCTCTGAAAATTTTAGTTTTGTGGTAAGCAAATCTCTCAAATGTTTGCTGTAGATTCTGAGCTTTTTTTGCTTAGCTTCGAAATTAAAATAAATTAAAATCTTCCAAAAAAAAACACTTTTTGAAAAAAACAGCATGTGCTCGACGTATGTTTTGACTGTGCTCGACTTGTTTTGTGACTTTCTCGACCAAAATTGGGTATCCTTTGACTGTGCTGGACCTTTGTCCCGTCTTGTGCGATTTTAATTGGATGTTTTGACTTGGTGCTCGAATTAAATCTGCTTCTCGGCCGTGGGTTTTCATTCGAAAATAGGCATCTTTGAAAAACGGCAAAAAGCTTTTCAGTCGAAAAGTCGAAAAATAAGTCAAGCGCCTCAAAATGGATCTTTTTCTTCTGAATGTCTTACTTTTTGTCTAGCGTGCCTGCGTACACTTCTGCAGGCCGTAGAGAACCCCCTAGTCTCGCTGTTTTCGGACAGCGTTATTTGTGGGATGATTGACAATAACCGCGGCTGTGGGGACATTAATGACCTTTGGACTGCCGAGGGTATGACAGCATCCGGCTGCACTATGGACTGCTGCCAGGCATCTGGGAACGACGACACCTGCAGGTCACTCGGTAAGATTAAAAAATGCCACTTTATCTTAATTCTCAATGTATTTAATATCGTTCCAAAATTGTCTTCTATCACAAATTTTGCCTGAAAGTCTTCAACTAAAAATTAATGATTTATTGATGTGCTGTTTATTTTTTGAGGTTTAAATTTATTTCTTTTTGAAGAGGTTATAGGTTTTTGATTTTCGACACAAGTAGAAATCCATCACAAGTCCAATTAATTTTAATGTTATGATTTCCTCACTAATTCTGCCTACGCTCGAATCAGCTGAACATTCGAACAAATTAAAAAAAAGAAGAAAGTAAGTAAAAATATTGAGTCAGTGTGTTTTTTTTCCGTTTTCTACTAGCCCTGGTGGATCACGTGGGTCAGATCTGTGTGAATGTGACCTACAGCAATGACCTTGGGGACACTTCTTCAGCTGCCTACAATGGCTTCAAGAATGAAATTGTGGCAGATGCTTACTCCTACGTCTCATGCGCTATCCATTCTTTTGTCACTCTCACCATTGACTCAGCCGCCGAGGTCAACATACCAAAGTTCCCATTTTGAAACATTTTTCTGAATACTCAAGTTGTACAACGAAATCTAACTTTTTGTCATCAGTCATAGACTTTGGTTAAAACCTATGCGACTTAGATGTCAATTAAAATCAAGCATTTAAAAAACGTTGATTTTTGAGTTCGAGTATTCAATTCAAATATAACCACTTTTGATTTTTGAAAGCAGTCAATTTATTTCTTTAAATTAACTTTTTACTGCAATTAAGTTTTTCCAAATCAATTTTTTATTTCCACTGATCATTTTACTTCATTTTTGATTTTGCAAATATTGCGAAATGAGTAGCAATCTAAAAGTACCCCAAATTTGCTTGAAAAAACTAAGCTCTAAAAATTAAATGAAATGCTTCCAGTCACTCTCAATTTCTTCAAAAACTCCTCAAGTATAGAACTCCTCAGCCACTCCTCTCAAAATTGAAAATGAACTCTAGTACTACTTGCATACATCAAGTACAACCTAATTTTAAAAACTCACAGTTCTTTGTGTATTCAGTTCCGAAAAACTTTCTTAAATTTGATTTAAAAAATGATTTTTTTTTAGTTTTTGAATTTTTTTCTATGCCTTGTTTAAGGATGCGATGTGTGCTAACGGAACTGTGCTATCATTTACGATCAAAACCTACCCAGACACTACAATGGATGCATGTGCGATGGAAACGTCCATAGATGCGTACCGGGCTGAGATCGGAGCCACACACCCTGTGAATTACATCAAAATGTCCGACTGTGATGATGACGATGACAAAGGAAGTCTGGCAACAGAAACGTCCGCACCGACTGTACTGCTTGCGCTGGTCTTGTTGGTTTCTTCCGTCTTCTCTCCCAAGATGATGTCAGAGCTTCAGGCCTAAATCAACAATAAAGCAAACATTAAAAATCAAAATATTTGAACCCCAAAGCTATTGAGAGTCAATTATCTTCAAATTCGAATTCAGTTTCAAATTTGAACCAATCGACGGAATACGCCACTTTTAATATATAAATAGCTTGTTATAAACAAATGAATAAATAGCTTTATTACAACTGATTAGATCTAAGTTGTCCAGCTTGAGAATATTTTTACTAATGAGTGAAGATAACTTTCCCTTGAATTTAGAAACAATTAAATGACTTTAATGCTTGACATTTCTAATTGAACAAGTTTCTTTAATTTTTCTTTGAGAAAGATTGAAAGCATTAATTTTTTAAATCAAATGAGAGGTATTGATTGACATGTTGTGTTAAATTTGGCAAGTTGCCTACATATATTATGCTCCTAACACGTAACCATCATTTTAATTCGGCTCGAAAACCATCACAAGTTGAATTGACGCACCTTCATTGATTAGGTTGTATTATTTTAGTAGATACAATTTTTTATGAATTTGTTAAACTACTTTGGTTTTGAGGGCAATTTGTCAGTAGTTTTTTGACTTTTTGTTGGAAGAAAACTTTTTCCAGACACCTCAAGGAAAAAACCAAACGCTGAGAGCCTTACCGTTATACGAAATTGATTTGACAGCTAATGCTAATAACTTTCGCAAATCTTTCCTCTTGCAATATGTCAGCACCTTTATCCAATGCTTCACGCAATGCTTCTAAAAACTAGAAGAGATGTACCAAAATGATAGATTTTTATCACGTTCAAAATGAAAATAAATGCTTGTATTATTTTGTATTATATCACATAAAAATCATTTTTAATTGAAATTCTATTAAATCTATGAAAATGAAAATTTTAGACAGATTTTATTTATTTTTTTCCAGTTTGAAAATGTAGTTAAGCAATCGTTTTTTGCATGATTGGTTAAAACAAGGTACTTTTTTTATCGTGCAGTTGGCTAATTCCAGAAAAACCCGGGAAACATTTTGTAAATTAGCCTGAAATAAAAAATCAATTTGTTAATATACAGCATTCTTGTTCATTAATACTGCGCTCGAAATCCAATTTAAAGGCCAAAATATGATCATTAAGAGACCAAACTGTGCATTTTGTGCATTGTAAGCGGATTCCAGGTAAGTTCAAAATCAGATTTGTCGCGGAATCCACAACATTTTTACTTTTCTTTGATCTTCTTTGCTGTTTTGGATTCCACAAACAAATAGCTAAAACACTCTTTTGCTTAAAATCGCTCCAAAAACAGACACTTTTGCGGAATCTGAAACAAAACTTGTGGAATGCGCAACAAAATTTGCGCAATCCGGAACAGTTTGTGGAGTCCACAAACAATTAATAATACATGTGTTTCATGCGCAACAAAAATTGCGGAATCCGGAACAGTTTGTGGAGTCCACAAACAATTAATAATATATGTGTTTAATGAAATTAAGCTGTCCTAGAATCCGCAACTGTAAGTGGAAAGAGCCAATTGTAAACGCAATCCTTATATTGTAAGTGGAATCCGCAAATTGCAAATGGACTTCGCAAATTGCAAGAGGAATCGGCAAATTTTAAGTGGAATCCGCAAAAGTTTGCGGAATCAACTTACAATTTGCAAATTCCACTGTTTTAGCTTACAGGTATTTGTACGCGGAAGCCACAGAAATGTTGTAGGTGGAATCCGCTTACATTTTGGAACATGTTTAAAAGTTAGTCTCTGGAATCCAGGAACATACAGACACAAAATTGTGCGCCTATGCAGTGCACAATTTGACCTCGTAATGATCAGTATTTGTTTTTCGAAACGTTCTGGTTCAAGTTACTATACTTTCGTACTTTACACTGATTTGTTGAGTTCACCACTCAACTTCTTAAATTTTCGCCAATAGCTGATAAGTGATGTTTATGTCAACTGAATGAACGAATTTATGATGATAATCTGATTTAGTTTTGACAATTTTCTTATTTTTTCTCAATTTTCTGCCATACCACTGGTTACACTCATTTGTCAAATCAACTTTTTTGCAAAAAACTGACTTTGAATGTCAAAAAAAGGAAAATACCTGAAACAGGTTCTTTTTTCAACTAAATGGGCCAAAAAATCTATCTGAATATGTTTTGTTGAGAATAAGATTTTTTTTCATGGATAATGTTCAACTAATTTGTTTGAAGCCAAGTTCACAGGTATAAAATATCCTTTCGACAATAAAAACTGTTCATATCTATTGCTATTCAGTTTCATGTGAAAACCCAGAAATGGTTAGCCCAATTTTATGCTGTATAAAAACAAAACCCATTTTGCTTTTCAATTTTTTTTCAAGGTTTCCCAAACCTCAACGCTCAAAATGTTATTGCTCAAAGTTAACTAAAAAATTCTGTTGTAGGATAATGTTTTTTATACATATCTTGCGTATGTTTTTCTAGCTAAAATTTTGAATAAATTGTTGAAATAATTGTTTTTCAATGCAATTATTCCCGTACTGAGTTTAATTTTGACTTGTTCTTTAGAATTTTTTGATAAAAGTTTTTACACCAACTGAAAGATATCTCTAACTTGAACTCAAGCTCAACTTTTTTCCCCTGTAATCTCTGTTTGACAAAAAAAAATAATTTACACCAATTTAGAAAGTTGTTCACGCGATTTTTTGTGTTCTTATGACATGCGTAAACGGCAATTTAAATCAATCCAAATCAAAGGAAGTTAGTATCTTGGTCCTTTTTCTACGAGACAAGACCCTAATATTCGTTTGTGTTTTTTTTAGAGTGTGGAGAGGTAAGTGTAAAACAAACATGCATACATTTTTTTATTTTGATCTTCTTTGTCATTTCTGAAAATTAAATTTTAGGAAAAAATTCTTCAATTTTAATGGACAGCCAAGTCATTTGGGATTCTGCCCTGGTACAAGAGCAGCCTTGTCTTATTATCCATAATATCTAATACAATAAAAAAACACATAATAGTTAATACCACTCTAGCGTTCTTGAAACAGTTTGTCAAATTGTGCAACTTTAAATCATTTTCAAAACTAACTCATCACCTTCACATTCAACAAAAGGAAATTCAATTTCTCTCTAAGAATGTCATTGAGAGTGCAAGGTAAAATATGAAAGATTTAATTTGTTGCAATTTTTTTTCAAGTCATACAATGAAATGAATACTGATTCTTGTTTTCCCTTCATCATATCAGATAAAGGGCTAAAATTAATCCTTAAAATGCTTAACAGGATAAAAGGATGCATCATTTTTTAAAACTTTGATGGTTGGTTTCGATGAGCAAGAGAAAGTTTTAGCCATAAGTTTTCTTATCAGTGGTGATAAAGTTTAACTTATACTCGTTGCTCGTTATTAAGAAAAAATAGTGGCACAATAAATTGTTCTCAATTGTTATCAAGTAACTATTTTTGTAGCCTGCTTATTCTTCCAAGTCTTAGAAAAAACAAAAGGCTAAGATAAGCAAAAATGTTTTTTGTTTCATTAAGTTTCATCAGATTATCTGAAAAGAATTGACGTTTTGAGCTCAAAGCGGATAAGATACTTAATGTGAGATTATTTCTTGCAAAATTAAGTATGTCAGCGTCTAGGAAAAGTGAACATAAATCAATTACAATGGAAGTTATAATGATTTTATAAAGCAGTATTGATGAGTTTTTTGAGCTCTAAAGTATTGTCAAAAGAACCGATTTCCATTTTTCACTCAGACAACAAAATGGAACAAAAACTGATTTTATTCCATTATTTTCATCAAGTTTATAATTAATTATAAACTATTTAAAATCATTTAAAATGGTTTTTTGACCACCTTATTTGTGTTTCTTGTAGGGCAAAATCTTTATCAAATGAGTAAGGCGGAATTTTGCAAAGTGATTGTACGATCTACTTGCGATTTCTAATCCTAAACGTTCTCAAACTGCAAAACGATTCCGTTAAACTATCCCCAGCCCCTAAAGTTTGCCTCTTTTTAACCTCACAACCGCCACCCCAACGTTTGCTCCCATGACCGCACACCTGAGCCATCTCCTTTCTCCTTTCACTTGATTCACCAAACCCCCCCCCCCCCTCACAACTGAAACCCAACCTGAACTCCTCCTGTCCACCTGAACCCCCCACCCACCTGAACCCATCCCCCACCTGAACCACCTCACCCAACAACTCAACCAACACCCTACTCGCGCTACCGAACCAATACCTCCCGCAGAACTAACCCCCCTAACCCGCATGGTTTGGCTCTGACGGGTGGGAGGGGGTTTGGTCCAGGTGGGGGTTTGGTAATATAAGAAACATATAAGTGGCAAAAGAATAACTTAAAAATAGTAACAAAAATTAAAGTTAAGCAGGAAAATGAAATTGAACAGCAATAAGCCATTATTAGTTTAAAACGTTGAAAACAATCTATGTGCGTTGAATTACGCATCTCAGAAAAATGGGGAAAAATCTATTTTAATGGAGTTATATTGTCTCTATCTATAAAAGAAAAAGTAATCATTCTAATTGATTTGCAATAGGAGTTCAATGTCTCACTAATTAATAGCTATATAATCCATTTTCATTTGATTATAATTAGTTGTTTTACACTTTTTTAGACATGAAACTTTTTATTTAATCAATTTTTATCGTTAGAACTCCGGCGCGGTTGGGCGTTTTTTTTTTCAGAGTAAACCTAGAAAAAATTGATTTTTTTTTACTTAATGGACGTTAAAAGGCAATCTAAAAGTTCAGCGTTTCTCCTTGATACGACGAATCGTTCCTGAAGCAGTTCGTTTTGATGTTTTCACTCTATAAATGGTAAGCAGAGACAAAGGATTTTTGTTCCAACTTTCGAACAAAGTGACAAAACAATCCAGCTCAGAAATCATTTCGAAGTGAACTGGAACAACTATTGATCGAAATATTGTGTTAGTAGACAGAAATTTGTCACTCTGTCCTTGTCAAGGCGTGGCAGCGGGGGCATTATGAAAAACACCTCGTTACACCACAAAGTTGATGCTCATTAGAAGTAGTGTGTGCAGGTGGCAGGAGGGAAAAGAGCCAAAAAATGTGGACAAGTTTCATACTTGTTTTCACTTTTCAAGCTACTGCAGACCTAATTAACGACCGTCGGAACATTAAAGGTTTCGCCCTGATACGAGCAACCCGGGTCGAGGTCGGGAACTTTGCGACTAAAAATGGCTATGTTGCGACCAAAGCCGGGTACGTTGCAACATTGCGACTCAAAATGGGTATGTTGCGACTTTCTTCTGTGAATTCATTATAGTTGAATATTGTT